GCTTGTCTCTCCAAAGCCTCAGTTTTATAATCTGTAAAATGGAGCTAATGGCAGTACCTTCATCAGAGGGCTATTTTGATGGTGAAATGAGATGATGCACAAAAAGTGCTGACAGCAGTGCCTGGCATGGAGTCAGGCTCTGTTACTAATAGGTGTTAGGATGTCGATAAAGTACTAGGTACAGGAGAGGTCACATTAACCAAGGTCCCACTGGGACTCGTCCATAAGTTTTATACATGCATGGTGAACACCTACTGTGTGCCAGGCTCTGTGCAGGTTGTTGGGGGGTTTGGAGGTGAATCAGCCTGATCTCCAGATGTTAGAATCTCCTCCCACCCAGAACCTCAGGAGCCAGGCCCTAGTAGTGGGAACTGGATGGGAGACAGAGGGATGGTATGAGAGCCTGGTTCAAGATTGTCCTCATCCTCTCAGAGTTTGCCCTTGTCTTGGATGTACTTGTGGGGAGCCCCTGCCAGGAGTAATAGGCCCAGGTCTGGGTCCTGCCGTGGGCCAGTCCTGACACCCAAGATGGAGCAGGTCTCCCAGAAGCCCCCTCCCAGATGTGGCAGCAGGGAAGTAAATGACCTCTACCTTTGCCTTTCAAGCTCTTGGGCACTGACCCCCAGCTATGTCCATATTGCTGCACTTGACCATTTACCCCACCCGCAGGAGGCCCACAGGTGAAAACTGCAATCTCACCCTTCTGCTCAGAAGCTTGTAGTGCAGTGGCTCTCAACCTTGGCTGCACATTAGAATCCAGAAATCAGGATTTTAAAAAGATTCTAATGTGCAGCCAAGGTTGAGGACCACTGTTGTAGTGGCTCCCCTGGTCCCTCCGGAAAAAAGCCCGAGTCCTCATCATGGCCTCAGGCCCTACTGTAGTCTAATGTGCAGCCAAGGTTGAGAACCACTGTTGTAGTGGCTCCCCAGGTCCCTCCGGGAAAAAGCCCGAGTCCTCATCATGGCCTCAGGCCCTACTGTAGGATCCTAACCTTGCTGGGTCATGGACCCCTCGTCAGTCAGGGGAAGCCCCTGGACCTTTCTCAGAATAATGCTTTTAACTGAATAAAATTATATACACAGGATCATTGGGTTAAAAGGGAAACCAATTGTATTGAAGTGCAGCTATTGACATATTTTTAAAACAAATTTGTTATGTAATGACATGTTTCTATATTAACCCATTATATAACACATCTAGTGGCAGGACTGATAGCAGCTGTGATACTGAAGTCGTGATAAGTGTAACTGGCACAACTGTGAAGTTATGAAGATATCTGACTCCTAGGGCTGACAATGTTCCAGGCACGCTCACACTACCATGCTTTATCGCCTACACTCGTAACGGAAGAGAAAGCTACATGTCAGTTTGAGATTACTGAAAATAAACATGCAATATTTCCATCCTAGTTCAAGGACTCTCTAAGTTTAATCCTAGACCCCTGGGTCTGGGAGTCTCAATTATAAGCCCCTGTGCATGGTCCTTTCTGTCCTCTTCCCCGTCCACCCTGCTCCAGCCACACTGGCCTCCTCCCACACATCCTTTTCAAACACTGCAGACATGCTCCCACCCCAGGGCCTTTGCACTGTCTGTCCCTCTGCCTGGAACAGTCTTCCCCAGATCCCTGTGTGGATCACTGCCTCACTTCATTCAAACCTTTGCTCAAAGGTCACCTTCTCAAAGAGGCTGCCCCAATGGATTACCCTATTTAAAATGATCACCTGTCTCCCTTGTACCCTGACATCCCCAATTCTTACCCTGATGTATTTTTTCTTTTTTCTGTTGCACTCACCATCTTTTAACATATCCTATCATATTAACTGCTTATCTGTCTTCTCCCACTAGAATGCCAGCTTCCTGAGGACAGAGATCCTTGTTCACTGCTGAGTCTCCCATACTTAGAACAAGACCTGGCACAGAGTAGGCACTTGATAAATAAGTGTTGGAAAATGATGAATTTATAAGCCATAGGTGTTACATTTTTTTTAAAAAAAGGTATTTGATTCTGTCAACCTAAAACTGCTTTAAAATATAAAGTTTATTAATTTAAAACCAAGGTATTTGAGATAAATAAACTAAGGCTCAGAGACTCTAAGTGTCTTTTGCAAAATCACACAGCAACTAAATGCCTGGGAAGAGACACCAATTCAACCCATCACAGTTGCCTCGGAAACAAGGGCTTGGTGAGGAGGGACAGTGCCTGACCATGACAGTGAAGAGAATTTGCCCAGAGATGGCTGATGTCTGGTCACACTGAGTGGTGACCACCTAAGTCTGCTCCAGCCCCCAGGAGGCAGAGATGGCAGATGGCCTTGGCAACTGCATGCCCTTCCCCTGGGCCTGGCTTCCTCCTGCCTCCCCTCCCCTGCAGGATGGCGCATGGGCTCTGGCCTTCAACTCAGCTAAAGGAGAAAGTCTCCTTGGCCGCTTGCCCATGTGACCTGAGGCAGCTCCAAGCAGGACTGTTACGCCTCTAAAGATAGTCCCCTTCCCAGGCAGCCGCCCCACCTGGCACCCTCACTGGAATCTCAGGGCAGGACAGATGCCCTGCCAGGACAGAGGCCAAATGTCTGGACTTGCCAAGGGCAAGGGCTTGGTTTGGGTTCTGTTTCCATCCATTCAGAGGCCCCAGCTTGGCCCTGAGGCTGGATGACTGGGCGGAGCCTGACCTCCGAGGCAGGAGGATGCCAGGATAGGCCGGAAGGGAACGGGGCGGTTTGGCTTCAGCCAAACTCCAGCCTCAACCACTCTGGGGCTTCTCCAGGGCAGTCACTGCCCATGAGCTCAAATGTACACGTGCACAGGCATTCTCACTCATGCATACTCACTCCTGTCCACACTAATGCACACGTGTTCATATAATACTTGAAGACTCACACTTACTGGTACACTCATCCATATACACTCATGCACACATATGCACACACAGACACACACACATTTGCTCATTCACACAGTTGCTACTCACGCTCAGGCACACACACTAACACACCCAGACCCAACAGATACACCCCCGGGTGCTCACTCTCTGCCACGGTTCCTCCCCTTCTCAGACAGACCCAGCAGTTCCCTCCCACGGCCTGTCTCCTGCGTGGTCTGAATGTAGTGTCAGCTCCCTGCAGGGCTGCAGCCCCTTGTTTTACTGCTGAGAAAGAGGCGGCTCAGGAAGGGGCAGTGATAGCTCTAAGGTCACACAGCATTGACATGGCAGAGCCAGGGTGAGGATTTGAGAGCCTGCCTCCCAGTGCCGTCTGCAGGACCTGCTCTGGCTAAGGCAGCAAATGAATTTGTGAATGAGTGTTGTGGGTTTCGGTGCCAATTACCTCTCCCTCCCCACAGTTCACTAAACAGAAGGGGGTGTTCATGTTAGCTGTGAGCATGGGGCATGAAGCACTCTAAGACATCAACCAGGGGTTGTGGTGTGTGTGTGTGTGTGTGTGTGTGTGTGTGTGTGTGATAACAGTGATACAGGTTAAAAACCATGTATTAACCTCCTGTCTGGGACTTTACCCACATCATCCCATCTCCACCTTGAGCCAGCCTTGAAGTGGATTACATTCCTCATTTCACAGAAACTGATCAGAGAGGTACAGTGACTTGCCCAAAGTCACACAGCAAATAAACAACAGAACCAGGTTTTAAGTCCATGTCTGTCTGCCTTCGAAACCTAGTCCAATGCAAGTAGCTAAGATACATTACCTCTACTGTATGCCAGGCACTGTTCCACAGGAACTAATCATCTAATTCTCACAACAGCCCTCTGAGGGAATTGCCATTGGGACTCCCATTGGTCAGGTGAGGAAACTGAGGCACATAGATGTAAAGCTATTTGTAAAGCCAAGTTCAGCAAGTAAGTGCTATAGGGATTTGAATTGACACAGTCTGGCACCCAGCCCAACATGACCCCATGTTGTGTCTTCTGGGTCTTTAACTCCGGACATCAGGGAGGGAGGCTGGGGATGCCCAGTTCCCAGAGCTTCCTATTGGCTGTGGGGACACTGATGCTCAGGAGGGGTGGAGGCACTTGCCATCTTTTTGTGGGGGGGCCTTGGGTAAGTCCAGCCTTCTTTCTGAGTCTCAGTCCACAGGAAGGGGACAGTTGGACTAGGTGATTGCTGTTTTCCAGCTCAGAAATTTTGGGCTGGGTTAGGACATGCCCCTACTTCAAGGCTCTCCATTAGCTTCTACCAGCTCAAATGTTTGTCTGGGACCCTCTGGAGACATAGGGGAAAAGCTAAGGAGGGGGCAGATCCAGGATTCCCTGAAAGGAGCCCCCAGGGCAGAGAGCACTGGTCTGGAGGGTCAAGAACCATTGCTCACAGGTTTAGGTCTGCCACTAAATTGCTGTGTGACTTTGGGTAAGTTACTTACTCTCTCTGGCCTTTAGTTTTCTTATCAATAAAAATAAGGAGATAGTCCCTGCTCTGCCCTCTTCTGGGAGGCTACTATGAGCATCCAGCAACCAGATGGGAAGGTATTTGGGGACAGTAAAGGGCTCGATAGATGTTGGCAAGTTCTTTTTTTCCTCATTTTTTCCCCTCAAATAATTTGAAAAATTTAGCTGCTGACGATAAGAATTTCTGCAAATTTCCTGGCCGACTCCACCCCTGGAGACCAGGCTGAGAATCCAATCATGATAATGATAATTGGGAATTGAGTGTCATCTATACACCAGACACTGGATTGGTACTATTAATACTTCCATTTCGCAAATAAGGAGACTGAAGCTCAGAAAGTTTAAGGAATCTGCTCAAACACAGCAGAACCAGGAATTTTATCCCCAGGTATGCCCAGCTGTGAAACCCAGCCCCATAACCACCAGGCCCTAGGCCCCTGGGAGATAGCCCCCCCTACCCAGGGGCCCAAGAATGGCCTGGAAGAAACAGTGTCCCCTCCTGTGTGTGACCTCTGACCTCCCTCCCCACATGCCCAATCCCACCTGGGCAGAGTGTCCCTGTGTGTCCACCTGCCTTCCCCGCTCTGACCCTGGCCCCTGCAGGTGCGGCTGGTGATTGCAGAGAAGGGCCTGGCATGTGAGGAGCGGGACGTGAGCCTGCCTCAGAGTGAGCACAAGGAGCCCTGGTTCATGCGGCTCAACCTGGGTGAGGAGGTGCCCGTCATCATCCATCGCGACAACATCATCAGTGACTACGACCAGATCATCGACTACGTGGAGCGCACCTTCACAGGAGGTATGGCTGCCGCCCCCACCAGAGGCCCTGCAGGTTCAGATGGGGTCCCAGAGCCTTGGAAAGCCTTCAGAAACCCACTGGAGCCATGGGCAAGGCTCAGTCTCCCCCAAGATGAATCACGGGCTCAGATACCCCTAGGAACTGCATAGCCACAGATCTCCAAAACGCCCCCGCTCTAGTACTACTACAGAGAAAGGGCATGGTCCAGACACCCTCCCCCTTGAAGCTCTGGGGCTATAGCTTCCTTCCTCAAGAGCTCTAGAGTCACAGGCATGGCCACAGACCCTTGGGATCCCCTCGGGCATGAACAGTCCCCACAGTCAGGGTAGAGATCTTCCAAGGATGCCAGGGCACCAGCAGGCCCAGCCCCCTGAAACCTATAAGCATAGTCAGGGCCATGGACTCCCAGGAAGCCCACAGACATGGGCCCAGATATCCCAGAACCTTGCAGACAAGAATAGGGCTGACACCCCAGAACCCCATACGATCCTATGTCCCTTTCCCTCCCTCCCTCTGGCCTTGCTTCGGTTCAGGAGCTCACAGCCCACAGCGGAGGCTGCAAACAGCAGCTGAGAGGGGATCAGGGCCCAGACATGCAGTTTAAAAAGAATATGAATTAGTTGCCAACATTTAAAAATCAAGGAGATCCAATCGATGTGTTTTCTCTCACATTGATATTTCTCTGTCTTTCCCTCTCTCTTCTACTCTCTCTAAAAGTCAATGGAAAAATATCCTCGAGAGCATTAACAATAAAAATCAAAGAGAGTTGCATTTTAAACATCCAGGTTTCCAGCTTCTGTTGAAGGCTGGCAGTAAGGAGCCCAGGCTCCCGCCGGCCCCTCAGAGGATAGCTTGGAGGTCTCCAGTGAGGAGGGGTGGTGGGCCGGACCACTAGGGTCCCCTGTCAACTGGATGAGGACTGTATCTCAAGGATTTCCTTGGATTACCTTGGATTTCCAGGATGCTGGGGTTGGAAGTTGGGGTGCCAGATGTTGGCCTTTCTGAATCAGGGGCAGGTGGCCAAGTCGGGCCTCATGCCCCTGGTCCAGCCCCGGCTGTGTCTCGCAGAGCACGTGGTAGCCCTGATGCCCGAGGCGGGCAGCCCACAGCACGCACGGGTGCTGCAGTACCGCGAGCTGCTGGACTCACTGCCCATGGACGCCTACACACATGGCTGCATCCTGCACCCCGAGCTCACCACCGACTCCATGATTCCCAAGTACGCTACGGCTGAGATCCGCAGTGAGTGCCCGGGGCAGGTGCACCAGCCCCTTGCTGACCCCCTTCCTTGCCCGCCTGCTCCCTTTCAATGGGAGTCCTTCTCCTCTTGCTCTCACTGGTGTATCTTACTCTCCTTTTCCCTCCTTCTCTCCTCTCTCTGTCCCTTTCTGTCTCAGTTAATCTCTCTGGGTCTCTCTCTCTCACTCGTTTTCTCTACAACATCTCTCTGGCCTTCCATCTCATTCACCCTGTATTACACTGAATGTCTCTCCCTCTCTTGCAGTCTCTGTCTCTCATTCCCATCTCCTGCCCCCTACTCTTGTCCTGCCATCCCATATAGAGGCTACAAGGCTGTTTATCTCCCTAGAATCTTGTCTTGTTCATGGGGAATTGGGCACCTCCCCACAGGAGTCCCAGCCCCAGACACCTAGGGTTGGGGCCCAGGGAGGTCAGGGCTATGGTTGGTGGCCCAGCATTGAGTGACATCAGTGTTGGCACCGCCAAGGAAGGCTGCCCAGATATGGCAAGGCCCCCTATAGGGTTTCTGATTTCTAATTCAAGCATCACCCATGTGCTGGTAGCCTGGACGTGCCCATGGCCTAGTTCATCCTTTTGTTTCCAGCATCCAGTAAATGGGGGTTAGATGAAATCAGAGTATCCATCAACAAGTGTTTACAGACTTTTGTCCAGGCTCTGTGCAGAAACCATGGGGTCCTACAGACAGACAAAGCATGATAATTCGAAGTAGATGATAGGTGCCCAGTAAATGGTCACCCCCTCTGAAAGGAATAAGTTTAATGTTTGAAGGTGGGAAGAAGGCAGATTGTGGAACTCAAGCTCATTTTTGAAGAAGACTCAGGATTTATCTATATTGTCCCATCCCCATTCAATCAAAAATATTTATGAGGTTTTTTTTATTACCTAAACCCTGGGCTGGGGGCTTGAGACAGATGAGGACAGACATAGCTTCTATCATCCCAGGGTAGCAGTTCCATGGAAGCAGAAAGACAAATGAACAGGTAATTATACCCTTTCCTGGACTCCTTAGTGTGAGATAAGAAATTTGAACAAGTTCTCCAGGACAGTCTGGCCCTTTATATCAAACATAGAAAGGACCAGACCTTGGAGATTATCCTGCAGTTACATTTGGGTGTGTGCGCCAAGACGTATGTACATGGATATTCATTGCAGTATAGGAAGTGCTCGCAAGAGGATGGAAGTAACCCATTTGTCCATGAGTTGGGAACTGGGTAAATAAATTCTAGACCTCTCACACAATAGAATACTGTGCAGCTGTTTTAAAAAATAAAGAAGCATATGGAATGCTAAGATGTATTAGAGAGTAGGAAAAAAAGTGAAGGGGGAAAAAACATCAATGTGCTATTTAGCATATTTAGAAAGAGGTTAAATTAGATGCACAAGTGCTTGCAAAGCAAGGAGTATTTCTGGAAGGATGTATGAGAAGCTGCCAGTAGTGCTTGCTTTGGGGGAATGGAAATAAGGGACTACAGAATGAGAGGAGAGTTACTCTTCACACAACATTCTTTAATGTTGTTTGAATTTTTAAACAAGTATGTATGCATAATCTGTTCAAAACCAAACTGTTTGATAAGGAGGCTGTGGGAACATAGAAGATGCCCATCCCAACCTCTGGGGTCATGGAGGATTCTGAAATGCAGCAATGTCCAGGGATGACCCACATCCAAGGATAAGTTAAAAGGGGAAGGAGAAGGAGCGTCCTTTCAGATTCAAGGGTAGGAGAGGGCATGGTGTGTTCTGGGGACCGAAGGAAGTTCAATGTGGTTGAAGTATAGCCCAAGGGTGATAGTGTGAGTCTGGGGAGCAGGTCTGGCAGAACTGGAATTTTATCCAAAGAGCAGTGAGTGGAGAAACAGTGATGGGAAGTGACATGATTGGATTTGCATTTTACAAAGATCACCCAACTGAGAATAGGCAGAGCAGTCAGGAGGTCCTGACTGTCAGCTAGGTGAGCAATGATAGTGGCCTGCACTAGACAGAGGTAGTCCCTAAGTGTTTCTGGAGGCTGGAGGTGCTCCCCCTTCCTACTCTGGGCCATTTGGAGGTACCTGGAAGGCAGTGGGGGGTCCAGAGCAGGCCAAGCCTGCTTCTTCCTTTGAAGAGGCTGAAAGGATCCCAGGGCTCCAGCCCAGCTGGAGAGGGGTGGAGAGACCTCACAGGATACAAAAGTCCAAGGTCTTCCCTTGGCCTGGTCTGTCCCCCTGGTGTCTGAAGAGAGCCATAGGGCAACCCCAGTAACTAGCAAGAGAGAAGATGCTGTACTTGACCTTCAAATTCATAAAACATCAATGAGGCTTAATATAGCCCCAAAGTGGAAAGATCTTGGAATGTGTTTATTGGGTTTTTATCAGGCCAGGAGATAGGGTAGTGAATGGAGAAATCTCAGAAGTCAGAAATTTAACAACTTTTGTACCCGTTTACTTAATCATTTCATTCATTCATTCATTCCTTTATTCATTCAACACTCACTGAGCTCTTTCTGTGCCAGGTCTGTACTGGGTTTTAAGAGAACAGAGATAAATCTGACATAGCCACTTCTTTCCAGAAGCTCAGATTCTAGTGGGAGACACAAACATCCAGAGATAAGTACATGAGCATCAAATCTCCATGTGCAGCAGGACAGGTTGTGTATTGCACAATCCAGGGAGCACTTTTCTCATAGACAACAGTGTGAATGGAATTGTGCGTGGCAGCTCTGAGTAGTGTGTCTGCATTCTCTGGCAGACACCTGCACCATGTACACTGGATAACTAAGGCACTGAGTGATCAGTTTTCCTAGAAGATCAGGAAAGGCTTCATGGAAGAGGTGGTCTTATGCTGTATCTGGAAGGGGATTTTCAGGAATACAGAAGACTATTCTGGGAGGAAGAGGAATGTGAGCAATGGCCTGGAGGTTTGAAATGGTCAGGCACATTCAGGAAATGTTAAGTATTTACTAGTAGAGTGGCTAAAATGTTACCATCTGGAGATAGGGACAGTTGGGGGAGCTCAGTGAAAGATGGAGTCAATGTGGGGAGAAGTGGATCCTGTATTGTTGGTGCTCTTGTCCCACTTCGGGTGTCCATTTATGCCGGGGTTCATGTCCCAGCATCAAGAAGGGTTCAGGAATCTGGAAAAGGGGCTGCGCGTAGATGACATAGGAATCCAGAGACTAATAAAGAGTCCAGAAACGAGATATAATTTTGAAAGGCATTGGGGGGTCAGAGGACCTTCAGCTAAAGGAACTGAAGACTGCCTCCTTGTCTAGGACCCTTGCTTTTATCAACACAATTTATCCTAAGGCAAGGTGGAGATAATACACTTCAAAGGTTAAGGTTTCAAAGGGTACAGAGTCCATTGTCAGAATGGGGGAATAGCCTACGGCTGTTCAGGTGTTTGGCCAGTAGGAGGCAATAACATGTAGATTAAGATGCCCTTTAACTGTCTGGCAGCCACAATCAGTTTCCTATTCAGGTTTGGGGAAATGCCTTTAGCCATTCCCAGATGGTGACTACATGTGTGACTCAACCCTGTTGAGTCCCCAAGTCTCATCAACCTTTTGATGAAACTCTTAAAATTATGACATGCTGGAATTGGTCTACGGCAATCCTGCTGGGTCTTTTAAGACCAGTTGAGGAGCTTGGACATTATCTGAGAGCAGTGAGGAGCCTGGGACGGGTTTTAAGTAGGGAGTGGCATGATCAAATGTGTTTTGAGGAAGATGTCTCTGCCAGAGTGGGAAAGGGCTTAGAGTGGAGAAAGTGCAGGTGACAGGGGTAAATCATAATCATCCAAGCAAAAGATTAACAGGGATAGTGAAAAGGTTGAAAGGGAGAAGGTAAGTATGAAAAATATTAAGGTGAAGAATCAACAGGACCTGGGGCTGATTTGGTGTGGGGAGGAGGGGGATGGAGGGATTGAGGACAATCCTTAGGCATCTGGCTTTGCTTAGTGTGTGTGGGGATGCTGCAATCTGGGGAGAATGCAGGGAAGATGATGAGATTGGTCGGGCCAGGATGTCTTCAAGAAGCCCAAGGATATCCAAATTGAGTTGGGGCCCAGGGGAGGGGGCAGAGCAGGATTGGGGTGCCACCACGTGCTTGATCTACCATGTCCAAGACGTATTGACCAAGAATTCCAGAGAATCCTGCCCCAATAAGGGAACAGAACCCAAGATCTTATCCCACTTAATATTTCCACCTCCTCTTGTAAAACCCATAGTTCATAGTTTACACTTTCAAAGTTAAAAATTTTCAAAGTTAGATTATAGGACACTACCTTTCTCCCATTAAGGATAATTCTCGAGATGCTGGCTTGAATTCCCATCATTGACCTACTTTCTTTCACCCTTGCCTTTTTGGCATCAAGGTCAGTTTTCCAAGGAAAGATGGGTCATCGAGTCCCTAAATCTTCGGGGAAGTTGCCTCACCACAGGTGGAAGTTTCAAGACACCAAAAGTCTCTTACAGTTTTTCTTGAAATAAACAAATTTTTCCTTGTGGGGGTGCAATGAATGAACACTAGTCCAAGAATCAGGCAGACCCATGTTCAAAACATGCTTGTTATTCATGTGTGTGGAACATTATTTAGCCCCTCAGAACCTGTTTCCTCACTACAGAAAGGGTTTGGGGGACACACTGAAGTACGAATTTTTCCAAGTTTAGCATTATATTCATGCCTGACAAACTCCTGCTCATCCCCAAGAATAGAGTGGCCTCCTCAGTGAGGTTTCTTGATGCCTGTCGCCCAGGCAGGTGGCTCTCTGGGTCCCACAGCATTCTGTCCACTCTTCATTACAGATTGACCATGCTGGGGTTTATAGGGGTTTCTTTAGATGTCTGTGTCTCCCACTATCCTGAGCCTATGGCAGGATGGCATCTCACCCATCCCTATGTTGCAGCCTGTTGTGCCTACCAAGTGTTGGCTGTTGATATTGTTACTTCCCAGACCAATGTTTGCATGGGACCTATTCCAAGTCTGTGGGGGAAGGGATGGGGTACACTGAGTAGCAGAAGGACAGGACCTTTCCTATTCTTTCCCCAGGACATTTAGCCAACGCCACCACGGACCTCATGAAATTGGACCATGAAGAGGAGCCCCAGCTCTCTGAGCCCTATCTTTCTAAACAGAAGAAGCTCATGGTGAGTGCCTCCGGCCCTGCTCATTCCTCTTTCCCACCATCTTTTCCATGGAAAAGAACAACTGGGAGAAGCTGGTCCTAGGTAGAGGATCAGTTGGTGACATGAAATGGGAAATCCATTGTTTGCTTTTCCAGTCCTGTCTCCTCTGTCATTTACTGGCTATTTGACCTTGGGCAAGCCACTCTCCTCCTGGAGCCTCAGTTTCCTCATGTGTTGGGTGTGTTCTTAATAGCAGAGCCTGCATTGGACAGAGGTTCTTGGGTATAGAGGGAGTGTTCTGAGGAGAACCCAGAAGGATGGGAGGGATGGAAAAGAGGAAAGGACCAAGTTCATCTATTTCCACAGGGAGCTCTGGAGCACAAATGGCACCACAAGGTCAATCCCCCTTGAGGCCAGGGGCCAGCCTTTTATACCCTTATATCAATCAGCCATTGGCTACAGATTGCCTGGCGGGGGGTTGAAGGGTTGAAAGGGTGTGGGATAACCTTCCAAGTATTTTTGGGCACCTCCTCATTGGCCAAGAGCAGTTCTCTGGAGAAGGGTCAGCTATGAGCCACTATCAACCAACCTTCATAGCAGCTGGTGTATGAGAGTACCAGCCCATGAAAGGGATCTGGGCAGGACAGCCAAGCTTACAGGAATATTGTGAGCTCCAGCTGAGGGTGCTATGATAACAGTGGGCATCCTATACTCTTGAGGGGATATTTGGAGATTGGATTTGCAGAGCTGGTCATCCCAGCTCTATTGAGGCCAACTCAGCTTCTCTGGCTCCTGCCTACCCTGCTCCTAGGCCAAGATCCTGGAGCATGATGATGTGAGTTACCTGAAGAAGATCCTTGGGGAGCTGGCCATGGTGCTGGACCAGATAGAAGCCGAGCTGGAGAAGAGGAAACTTGAGAATGAGGGTGGGTACCAGCCCTGGCTAAGGTGGGTGCTGCTGCCCATCCACCCTTCCCCACCCTGACCTTGACCAGTCCAGCTTCTTTTTTCCCAAAGATCTCAGAGGACCCCCTCCCAGGGTTAGGATCATGGGCCATGGAGTCAGGCAGACCTAGGTTTAAGTCTTAGCTTGGCTACTTACTAGTTGAGTGACCATGGTTCAGGTACTTCACCTCCCTGGATCTCAGTTTCCATATGTAAAATGAGGATAATAATAAGACCTACCTAAGAGAGATGATGAGAAATTACATAAAATAATACATGTAGAGTGCTTAGATCACTTAGCACACAGTAGGTATTTAATAAAGGTTGGTGAAGATGATGATGGTGATGGTGATAGTGATGGTGACTTTCCCCCTTATCAGAGATGAATATTATGGCTTCTTTGTGCTGCAGCCAGACATCCAGGCTTGCCCAGACTCTCTGACCTTGACTCTTTCTGTTCTCAGTGGCTCTCTTCTCTGGATCCTGAGCAGACCAGCTTCATTCCCACCTCCATACCTTTGCTCCTGCAGTATTTCCAGCCTGGAGGACCCTATCCACCCTCTCCTTTTTCCTTTTATATAACATCTTTGCCACAGCTCTTCTTCAGATTTTATTCTGGACCTTCCCGTTGCTCTCTTTTAGACAGACTTAGTCTTCTCTATTCAACTATGCAATTTATGGAGCCTGTGCAATAGGTGCTGCTACAGTTACAGCTACACACACACACACACACACACACACACACACACACACACACTTCTACCTGGAGCACAGTGACCTAGAAGATAAGTTTAGAGTCAGACAGGTTTGAGTTAGAGTTCCAGCTTTGCTGCCAGTACTGTGTGACTTGGACAGGTTATTTTCCCTATTGGAGCCTCAGTCTCCTCACCTGTAAAATGGGATGATAAAAATGCAACTTATGTTAACCCCACCTAGTTGGACTCTTGTAAAAAGTAAAAGCACACAGTAAAGTGCCGGGAGCATAGTAGTTTAAGAACATATGACAGCTAAAGACATGTACATTCTCCAGATGAGAAAACTAACGCTCAGAGAAGTGAAGTGACTTGTTCAGGGTGACTTGCACACAGCTTTTAAACAGCATAGTTAGGGCAAGCACAGGTTCCCTCTTAATGGGTCCAGTGTTCTTCCAGCATCTCACAACTGAGGCCTTGAGCACAAAGCACACACAGGTCCCTAAAGTCCTCAACAGGGACATTGTCGTGTGTAATGAAGCCAGCTGCCTTAAATCCCCTCTAGAAAAAAGGATGGTATGGCTAAGAGAGGGAAATAATACATCCCTCCAGGAGGAACTTTTTCAGTTCTGTCAGAGAGGGTGCTGAGGGAGCCAGGACAGAAGAGTGCTTAGGGGCAAAGCCCCAGCTCTGCCATTCTCACTGGGTGATCTTAATTCTCAGGTGTATTTCATATATTTATCCATTAATTTGCTAGGGCTGCCATCACAAAATACCACAGACTGGATGGCTTAAACAACAGACCTACTTATTTTCTCACGAACCTGGAGCTAGAAGTCTAAGATCAAGGTGTTGGTTTCTTCTGGGGTTCGGTTTCTTTTGAGGCCTCTCTCCTGGGCTTACAGATGGCTGCATCTTGCTGTGTCTTCACATGGTCTTTCCTCTGTGGATGTGCCCCTGGTGTCTGCACAGCAAAATGTCCTCCTCTTATGAGGACCCCAGCCAGATTGGACCAGGACCCACCCTAACAGCCTCATTTTAACTTACTTTTTTATTTTATTTTTATTGATTGATTTTAGGGAGAGAAAGGAAGAGGGAGAGAGAGAGAGAAAGAAAGAGAGAAATCTTAATTTGTTGTTCCACTTACTTATGCATTCATTGGTTGATACTTGTATGTGCCCTGACCCGGGATTGAACTCACAACCTTGGCATATCGGGATGACGCTCTAACCAACTGAGCTACCCAGCCAGGGCAAACTTACTGCTTTAAAGACTCTTTCTCCAAATACAGTCACTGTCTGAGACCCTGGGGGGTTAAAACTTCAACATATGAATTCTGGAGGAACACAATTCAGCCCATAATGATTTATGTATTTAACAACACTTACTGTGTGCCAGGCACTGTTTTAAGTGTTTCACATATTTCAACTTATTTAATCCCATAATAACTCTAGGAGGTAGGTAATATGAGTAACCCCATTTAACATGAAAAAATTAAGGCACAGAGAGGTTCAATAATCTCCCAAGGTTACACAGATAGAAGTGGTGGAGGCTGGATTCAAACACTGGCTCCTTGAGTCATTCTTAAGCACTAGTTCTGGCTCCTCTTCTGTTCTGTAAAAGGGTGTTGAATGAGCACCTACTTCACAGGGGTGTTGTGAGGATCAGTGAGAAAATGCATGTAAGGGGCTCAGCACATTGCCTGGCACATGGCATTAAAAGTGTCTGCAAATATTAGCTGCTGTTATGATCAAGGGAGACATGGAGTATGACCTAGATGGAGGCCAGAGTTGATGGTCCTGGAGAATAGCTGTAGACACATTCCTCAGGTGGTCCTAGCCTGTGAGCCTCCTGCCCTCACTTTCTGTTTTTGTCCTGAGGTCTTCCAAGAGCAGGCAGCATTGCACTGCCCGATAGCCAGATGAATGGGGTTGTTTGAGATGGAAAGGTGTGGGCAGTCCTTGTGTCCCTCCAGGCTGAGGGAGGCAGCAGAGGCCCAGCGGGGTGGCTATCAGTTTTAAAGGTCAGACTGGCTGGGCCCACATGGTCTCTGGTGCTCAGTCACCTACCAGGGCACCTCCAAACCTCCACTTCTCTCTGTGTGGGGCAGAGGTATTGTAATGTCATAGTTAAGACCCATAGATGGAGCCAGCTACTGAGTCCTGATATGGACAAGGGGGACCAAGGGTTCACTTTGAGACACAGTAAGTTTGAGATGCCTTTTAGACACACAAGGGGGTATCACATAAGCCATTGGATATTCTATATCATTTTAAAAGGAGAAGTCAGAATTTAGAGATAAAGATTTACAAGTCTTTAGCATATATGTGGTGCTTAAAGCCACAGAATTGAATGATTTCATTTAGGAGAGAGTGGAGACAAAGAGGGGGATCAAGAACTGCAGTAGATATTAGTTATCTACTGCTGCATAACAAATTGCTCCTGGACTCAGTAGCTTAAACAGAAAGCACTTCTTATATAACACACGGGTCAGGAATTTTGGAGCAGCTTAGCTGGGTGGTCTAATTAAGGTTGTATAATGCAGGCTGTAGTCAAGCTGTTGGTTGGGGCTCTGGTCATTTGAGCTGGAGGATTGGCTTCTAAGATGGCTCGTTCTCAGGGTTCCTAACTAGATGTCTCAGTTCCCCACTGGCTATTGGCAGGAGACCTCAGCTCCTCACCATGTGGGCATCTCGATAGGGCTGCTTGAGTTTCTTTGCAACATGGCAGCTGGCTTTCTCCTGAACAAGTGATCCGTGGGAGGGAGAAGCAGCAGAAGCCACAGTTCCTTCATGACCTACCATTGGGAGCCACTGTCACTTCTGCCACATTCCATTCCTTAGTACAAGTCATGAAATACAGCCCGTAGTCCTGGGGAGGAGAATCAATCTGTGGACACATTTTAAAACTCCATGCCTGCCCTGAGGTTCCCTCACATTCAGAGAGGTGTAGGGGCAGAGGAACAGGCAAAATCGACTGACATGGAGTGGCCAGTGAGGTAGGAGGAGCCTGTGTCATAGGCTCTCATAAAGGGTCTGAGAGGCTGAGTAAACCAAGGATAGCAAAGCGCCCCTGGATTTGGTCCCATGGCTTTGGTGGTGACCCTACCAAGAGCAGTTTCACTGAACTCGGGACAAAAGACTGAAGAGTGAGTGGGAGGAAGTGTGGCCAAGTGGAGACAACTCTTTTGAGAAGTTTATCTGTAGAAGGGAATAGAGCAATGGGGTGGGAGCTGAAGAAGTGTGCGGGGCAAAGGGAGGAATTTTTTCTTTTATAGTAGATACAAGGTGTGTTTTCAGGATGGCAGAAATGACCCAGTGAAAGGAGAAGGATGCAGGACCAACGATGCAAAGTCCATGAAAGGACAAAAGGGGTGTGGTCCAGGCAGGACCCCATAGGACACAGGGTGACCCCAAATTGGTAATTGAGGAGGCTTATTATAGGGTCTGTTTATAAATATGTGGGCAGGATTTAGGGAAACCACAAGGAAAAGCGTGGTATCCTGGGCCTGAGGTCATGAGAGGTGGGAGCAGTTTCAGGAACTGGACAGACAGACTGCATAGAGAGGGCCACCTGACAGAAGCTGTAGCTTTCATTCTAGGGACACAGACAGTCGACAGTGACCTGCAGAGAGGAAACCGAGGGATGTAAGACTCTGACCTCACTCTCACCACCGTCCTCCCTCCTGTCACTGCTCCCCATTGGCGGAACCCCCTGGAACCAGAGTCAGTCTTCTGGGGCACGAAGCAGCAAGGAGAAGGGAGGAGAGTAGATCCACATGCTAGCTTTTCCTCCCAACTTACAAAAACACTCTTGACCTGTGTCAAATTATTAGTGTATCCTCTCCATTACAGCAAAATTCCTTGAATGAGTGATCTTTGCTTACCGTCTCCAATTCTTCTCCTCCCTTTCTCACTTGAACTCCTTCCAACCAGGCTTTCACTGTCAGCATCTACTCCAGCTGCTCTTGTCAAGGTCACCAGCTGCCAAATATAATCTCCATTCTCAGGCCTCCTCTTACTTGACCTCTCCACAGCATCTGAACACAGCTGAGTATTCCCTTCTCCTTGGAACACTTTCTTATCTTGGCTTCCACGACACTACACACTAGTGGGCCTCTCCCACCTCCCAGGCCACTCCTTCTCATGCTTCTTCAATGGTTTCTCCTGTTTCCCAGTATCTAAATCTTGAAGCCACAAAGCTCAGTGCTTGCACTTAAAAATTCAGTTGATTTAAAGAAAAAATTGATAGGGATAGTAAAAGGATGTGGCAAAATCATTAAAGTTGTGTAGGAGTGAATGACCCTGGGGAAACACCATGGCAGGCGGACAAACATCAAAGGAGTCAAGGAGAGAGGAGCGAGTGCATGGGGTTGAAAAGCTGATCCCTCCTGCCCCCATCTCCTCTCTCTTCCACTCTAGGACAGAAATGTGAGCTGTGGCTCTGCGGCTGTGCCTTCACTCTCGCTGACGTCCTTCTGGGAGCCACCCTGCACCGCCTCAAGTTCCTGGGACTGTCCAAGAAATACTGGGAGGACGGCAGCCGGCCCAACCTGCAGTCCTTCTTTGAGAGGGTCCAGAAGCGCTTTGCCTTCCGGAAAGTTCTCGGCGACATTCATACCACCCTGCTATCGGCCGTCATCCCCAATGCATTCCGGCTGGTCAAGCGGAAACCGCCATCTTTCTTTGGGGCCTCCTTCCTCATGGGCTCCCTGGGCGGGATGGGCTATTTTGCCTACTGGTACCTCAAGAAAAAATACATCTAGAGCTGAGCCAGGCCTGGGCTTGGTGTCTGACTGTCAGTGTCTCTGTGCTGTGTGATTCCCAATGAGCTCTCAGTTAATGCACTGTCTCATGAACACTTGAACAGCCCCTTCCCCACCCCTTGTTCGGAGTAATTCTATTGTCAGTGTGAAAACATTCCATAGTTTAGAAGTAGACGTTGCCAATGCCGTGAGTTGAAGCCACGGCTCTACTAAAGGAGAGAAAGAGTGAGAGAGAGAACAGAAACAAAGCACGAATGCCTTTTCTTTTGATTCAAGGTCTCAAGATGGAACTGTGGGGACTGGTTAGGATCTGAGGTGAGTCCCAGGCCATTTCACCCATCAGGGCCCAGATTCTGGGAGGTGCTGGGGGCTCAGAGGGCCTGACCCCTCGCCTCCCCTTCCCTCTTGCCCAGGGAACTTTCCACAGGACAAAGCCAACATCAAGACTCAGCTCTTCTAAGTGGTACCTCTGGGTGGGGCTAGAGACCCGGAGACTCCATGGGAGGCCCGTGAAGATCGGAAGGGACTTCATTCTTCTCCTGGACATGGACTGAGACAGCAGTGGCTCAAGCCAAGGCAGTGGCACCCAACCACCAAACCAGGACTAGGACGGACACCATGAGCACACCCTCATTCCCCTCCTGCTGTGGCCAGTGAGTTTGGTTTGGCACTCTACCAGTAATCCCTGAAGGCAGCATCCATCATCCTCTTCCCACCTGGAGCTGATTTTTCCCATCATGTGAGGTGGACTTTCAGCAAAAGCCAAGTTCACAGTCTTAGAAGGTCAGTCCGGCCCGAGTGCAGGGGTGGGTCTGGAGGTAGATGAACCTCAAGTCCCTCTCCTAGCCTCTGCCAAAGCCATCTCCTTTAATGCCCACCTGTCCCATCACTTGTGGGGTGCCTCGCATGCCCCACCATGCCACGCAGGGGGATCTCCTCACCTATGCTGCCCACCCTGGTCCTGTCTCACTTTCCTGTGCCTTTTGCATGTTGGGAGAAGGTCTGAGTGTCACTGCCATTCATGCTTAGAAACCACTGAAAGCCCCCAATAAAGCATCCAGGAGAAGCAGTTGCTTTTCATTTGTAAACCTGTGTTGTCCATCTAGCTCTCATTTCCAAAGGCTGGGATCAGAGGGGTGGAGACACAAGATTCAGCATCCGTGAGTTCAGGTTTCAAGTTGATGAGTGTAGGGATGGCTCCTGGATAGACTTTGCAAAGTTCTGCTCTTGACATAAACCCACCTCACTTGGACAGTGCTTCACAGTTTACAGAGCATGCTCACAGCCATTTGCTTATGTACATGGACTGTCAGGGGACTCCCGGGGCACATGTCCTCACAATTACCCAGAGAAAAATGTGTTCAAATGCCCCAAGATCATTAAACCAGAGGTATAATTTGTGGAACATAAGGCATAGTTTTATTTATTTTATTAAAATGTATAAGAAATTTTTTTCCATCAAGGTGAAAAGAAAAAAATAGCCAGGGCCAACATTTAGATACTTGAGGCATTATCTAACACTTGGCTACTTAAACATCCACGCAGACCCTCCCACTCATAATTAAACTCCACTCAAAGATAATAACATCATGCTTAATTCTAACAGGACCAATGCTCTCCTGAAATGAGGATACAACTTCTCTCTAAAAATGAGACCCACAAAGCCCCACCAGTCAGTAACATCACTCTGGATGATGTCAGAGTCACTTTTTGGTCCACCTCTAGTCCCAGAGATCACAGGCACACCTCAATATACTGTAATATATAGATTAAAACATCAATTTAACCATCACCAGTAATCCTTATATGCAATATATATATGTATATGACAAGCAGGAAAGAAAACACTCATAGTTGCTTCAGCCCTCATTTCTGTAACTGATCCCAAGGCCATTGTTGATATTTATAATTTCTCTTTTTTTCCACTAGCTATTCTATGTTTTGGTTGTTTTTTTTTGTTTGCCCCCAGCCTAGACCTCATGTTTAGGGTATTTTACTGGTGAAATGATTCAACTTGGGCTGTTGTAGTCTTCTATTAATCTTTTGCTGTTGGATGTGGAAGTATAACAGGGCACCCAGAGAATCTTCTAGTTCCCGTATAGTCTTCCATGCCACCACTGTAGCAGCAATCTAATTTACTCTTGGTGATCAGACCAATCATGCCAGCCAGTAGAGTAACCTACTTCTTTGCTTATAGTTGCAATGGTACGAGGAGCTCAAAATGACTGAGTGGCAATCAATGTTTTCCTTAATAGAAGCATTCCTTCCTTGAGAACTATAATATCTAGCCATCAAAGTCCAAAGTTTCAGGGATGGAAAGCAACATTTTTGTGAATGGGTTATTTTGTGCAATAGTGAAAGTATTTCCACCTCAGCATTGCTGGATCCATGTTTCCTGCATGTGGAGAAACAGCATTATGGTTGGTACAAAGTATATGATGTGTCCTGTAGACAGCATTCCAACATTGCAGTGTCTCCCAGCTGTCCCTATAAGGGAGTCTTTATTAGGCCATCTCAATTTTCTATAAGTCTGTTGCTTCTAGATAAGACCAGAAAATTCCATAGGTATAATCACATGGCTACATTTATTTTGCTGTAATGTCACCTCTTTGGTCAGAAGCAGTATTGTATGGAATATCAAGACTGGAACCAAGGTGTCTGTGCATGTGGTCAAAGAAGGCAAACCCATATACAGAATATACAAATTGCTGCTCCCTGCGTGATGGAAGAGGTCAATGTAATCAACCTGCCACTAGGTGGGGAATGGTGCCATATCGGGAATTCATGCAAGGTGGGCCCTCAATGGTGGTTTTAGCTAAATCAGTCTTGATTAGAGAAGTCCATGTTATTGTGTCCACTTATAACCTCTAGCTCAATTACTGGCCATTTCATATGTGAGCCTGTTGAGCAAAACCTGTCCCATGTGAGGCACCCCACAAGTGATGGGATGGGGGGGTTAGTGGGGAAAGGAAATACTGACATCTACAGAACAAGTCATCTGGTTCACCTATTTATTGAGAGTCTCCTCTGAAGTGGGTTTCTTAGGGGGAATATTTGCATAAAATACAATTATCCTCTTCTTCTGTATCCACTGTTAAAGATCCATCTACGTACCTTCTCTCACAGACTTCCTTATTACCAATCCTCCAATCCTGATCATACAGTCGAACCATCCATCCCATGAATATGTGTAGATCCATATTTCTGAACTTCTATCTCCATCTAGATAGACAACTATATGTAGAGTTGTCCCTCATTATTTGTGGGGGATTGGTTTCAGGACCCCCCACGGATACCAAAATCCATGCATGCTCGTAATTATATAAAATGGCATAGTATTTGCGTATAACCTACACTCTTCCTCTTGTCTGCTTTAAATCATCTCTAGATTACTTATAACACCTAATACAATGTAAATGCTATATGAATAGTTGTTGTACTGTATTGTTTAGAGAATAATGAAAAAAAGTCTGTACGTGTTCAGTACAGATGCAGCCATCGCAGGCCTAACTACACAATACATATCAACAACAGTGTGCCCTGGCCAAGTAGCTCAGTTGGTTAGAGCATTGTCCTGATATACCAAGGTTGCAGGTTCAATCTCCAGTCAGGGCACATACAAAAAGCAACCAATGAATGCTTAAATAAGTGGAACAAGTCAATGATATTCTCTCTCTCTCTCTCTCTCTCTCTCTCTCCCTCTCCCTCTCCCTCTCTAAAATCAATTTTTTTAAAGTAACATTTCCCCCCAAATATTTTGATCCCTAGTTGGTTGAATCTGCAGGTGCAAAACCTGCAGATATGGAGGGCCAACTGAATTGCTTGAAGTTCTGTTCACTGAAAGGATTTCCCTTCTCCAATATCTTTCAGGCCTTCCTATAGTGCTGCAACCATCCACTTCCAGTTGGTTCCAGGCCTGAGCTTTCTCTTCCTCCATCAATTGATCACAGGGTATTTGTTATGGGGCCTTAGGTATTGACTGAGGAAGAGGTGGCAATGTGGTGGGAATAGGTGACAGTCTCACTTGATAGAATGCTGCGGTACATGTTTAGCTTTATAGCTTGATGGATCAGATGACACCCAGTCCATGATGGGTGCCGGGAGCCGGTCCATCCTTGCTGCTTGACACAGTCGCTGCAGAGAAGAAACATCTGCACAGCATATGTTTCAAGGGACCTGGCGTATATGGCATACTGTTCTTAATATGTTTGCTCCCCTTCTTGG